ATATGTAGTGAAAAAAATTATTTGTAATCAGACAAAATCATATAAAATCAAATGAAATCATGTAATCAGTGGGACAATATTTCAACTAGTGGTTACCCCCTCGCCCGTTACCGTTTTCGTTACTTTTTTCAGTAACAATTGTTACTTTTTTCTGTCTGTAATGGTAACGGCAACGTCGTTACATTTTTACTGTAACGGTAACGAATTTAGCCGTTACTTTTACCGTTACTTCAATTCCCTATTATTTTCTTATTTTTAATTTATTCTTAATTTCTTAAAAAGTATTTTGTACTTAATATCTTATACTGTGTTTTAATGGGCACGGCCAATGTTGGAAATATACATATAAATTCACATTACAGGGTGTCCCGACCTTTTTTGCCAATCACTTTTGTGTAGATAGAGCGGACTAAACTGAGTCGAAAAGTCCTCTATCATTTTGCAATTTTCGCAAGATATTAATTACTAAAAATTGCAAAATATTAGTCTTGAATAATTTTTTACTCAAATACTATTAACTTTTCAGAAAAACTGCAAAAATTATTAATTTTCTTCTCATAAAGTTCTGAGAATTTTTCCAGAATTTTTTCAGAATTTTTTAATACCGTATTATCTCATGTTAGTAAAAATAAGAAAATGCAGTACTAAAAAGTTGATAAAAAATTCTCAGAACTTATTATGAGAAGAAAATAAATAATTTTTGTTTCTTGCATTTTTTCTGTAAAGTTGATAGTATGATTAAAAAATTATTCAAGACCAATATTTGGCAATTTTTAATAATTAATATCTTGTTAACTATTGCGAAAATTGCAAAATGGTAGAAGACTTTTCGACTCAGTTTAGTCCGCTCTATCTACACAAAAGTGATTGGCAAAAAAGTTGGGACACCCTGTATATATTGTAAATTTTTGGTACGGACAATAAATATTGAAATACACACAATAGTAACCCTGGTGGAAATAAATCGTTGAAATTGCTGAAAATCGCTGAAATCTCTATCAATCGACTCGTTTCATTATGAATTACACTGAAATGGGTCTATTGATAAAGATTTCATCGATTTATTTCCACCAGGAAACATTAATGTTTAAAAACAATATATAATCTATTATCTGTTTAGTCTAAATGCTTATAAAAATGAGTACATTAAAATAACGATATTATCTAAATAAAATAAAGAATTAGTAAAACTATAGGTAAGTTTAATATAGAATATAGAGAAAAGCTTGCTTTATATACAAACTAGTTAGTAAAGAGTTTCAAATTTGAATATTTATTTCACACATTTAGTAAGTATTAAATTAATCACCAGTTAATGTAATTTTAAAATCTAATAACTTACTTTAGCATTATAACAAGAAGTAACGAATCGTTACTTTTCAAGTAACGGTAATGGTAACGCGTTATTTTTTAAAATTGGTAACGAGTAATGGTAACAAGTTACTTTTTTCAAAAAGTAACGGTAACGCGTTACTTTGTAATTCCTACATATTTATACATATTCATGCATGAAACATTTTTTTACCGAGAAGGTTAAACTAATTAAAGTTTTAGTAGTCCTTCAGACTTTTCTAACGACTCTCTTTGACAAACAAATTCAAATCATACATAACGTTACGTATATGTGTAGCGTGTCAGGTAAATGTATGTACTTACACTGCGTGACATTGTGTGTAACTGCGTGTACTTTTCTCGAGAACTGACCGGCTGAATAGAATTTCGACAATGAGTGCAAGCGAATCCGTGAGTCAACTTTTTTCGGAATCTGTTGATAATGACAAGATTTTTACGATTGGAGTCACTGTGGACACAGGTACTGGAAATTATTCGTGAACTTGTCCATGAGATAAGGAGAAATCCACGCGCATCTCTTAAATCTAACCTACAACAAAAGGTGCGTTCGGAGAGACGCTATTAACGCTATGTCTCATTCTATCCTTGTTTTACGTTTAATAAACAACGAAGATAGAATGACAGAAGTAGCGCTAATAGCATTTCCCCGAACGTGCCGAAAGTCCTACAATAAATGATTTTGTTTACGCAGGTTTCGAATGGGAAGCAATTGACGAATGCAAAGAGAAATTGGGCAAAGATGTTCGGGTGGTTAAGCAACGCGGAAGAATCTATTTTAATATTGATTGGGATGAATTTCCAAAAGTACTCTTCTACACAACTCAGATTATTTTTTTAATATAGGTGCAAGAATCATAATATTTATGTTTTATCATATACATATGTTATAGGTTCAAGAAATGAGATCGATAGATCATATATTCATAGTAGCTGACAACGGAAGTTTATCGTTTACTAATGACAAAGAACCAGACTTATTGCAAATAAGAAGTTATAACTTGGACATACTTTCGAACTCAGATAAAACATGGAAGAAAACTCTTGAAGCATGGAAATGCGCAACAAGTTTCAAGGGAAAACTTTATCCAACGAATGAAGAATACGTTGAAGCTAAAAAGGAAGATCTTGTAGCCAAAACAGAGATGTTAGAAATGCGTAATAAAGAAAAAGGGAAAAAAGATCCCTATGATTGGAATGTATCAGAGATGAAAGAAGAAAAAGGGAAAAAAAGGGGTCAAGATCCTTCAAAATCCCAAGAAAACGATATACTCAAATATAGAGTAACATGTGAGAGGAGTGGTAAACATGCAATTGAATCTAAGGATGTTGCTAGAGTTATCGGAGAGATATTACAGGACAAGTTTCATTGGTTGGTTGACTTGTCCATGTATCATCTAGAAATTGTCTGCAAATTAATAGATGGTATGATAAATAAGAATTAATAGATCAAAGAATTTTAACAATTTTACGAAATATACACATATGAAATTTTATAACAATACCTCCAAGAACTAATTATATATGAATAATGAGAGAAGCTGAATACTAATTATTTCTAAATATTTCAGATCAATTAATAACGCATTTACGAGTAACGCACAAATCCAAGCATCACAGAAATATCATAAATTTTGGACCAACTACTCTTAGATCGACTATATGTTACAATTTGCTAAAATTGGCAAATCCCAAGCTAGGAGATATAATAGTAGATCCTATGTGTGGGGGAGGTTCTATTCCTATAGAGGTATATTGCATGTTTACGATAATAAAATTAATAATTCATAAAATTCTATTCAAACACAATTTCAGGCAGCACTAGCTTTTCCACATTTATATGTCTTATGTGGTGACAACGATTCCAGAGCTACAGATAGAACAAAGTCAAATATGGATGCTTCAGCAGTTACATGTAAAATAGATCTCGTACAGTGGACTGCTTCAAAACTGCCATTCAAAGATTCTTTTGTCGATATCATTGTTACTGATATGGTATGGAAATTAATCATTAAAAATTTTGCTCCAACATTATAATTAATTTTTACGTATTTTTACTTTTTCATTAAAAATGATCATTTTTTTAATAATCTCCAGCCTTTTGGTAAAAGAAGTGGGAATAAGTCATACAACAAAATTTTTTACAAAAAATTTTTGCTAGAATTTGGTCGCATAGTAAAATCAAACGGACGAATAATTCTACTCACTTACGATAGAAATAACTTTAAAGACGTAAGTTTTTATTATAACTATTTATAGCAATTAAAATATGAAAGAAAAGAACTAAAGTAAAATATTTTACTATAATCCGAAAACAAATTCTATTCTTCATTTTAGGCTCTGATGGCAGCTGGTGATTTATTCTGGGTGATAAAAATAATTGGTGTAAACGTGGGAGGCCTTCCAGCTGCAGTTTATGTTTTGAACCGCACTCAAGTAGCCCTTGATTCTTTCAAACCGCGTGTGGCCAAACAGTATAGTTATCCGAGAGACAATAAAAACTCGTCTCATTCGACTAAAAATCCTTTGTCCAATTAGAGATATTATTTTCATAAGTATTGTGATACAAGTATTGTAAATTCATATTTTTGTACGAAGAAATTAATAGAGTTTATTTAGCATATATTTAGCATATAATCATATTTAGTTTTTTTTACGAATTATTTCCCAGATAATCCTAATATATGTATACATAGAATTCACAAAAAGAATTTTCTTCTGCTTGTCTCCATCTCGTGTCTGCGACCTTGTATAATCCACTCGTAATCACCATATTTACTGTCGAATGTTCCATGTTGTAGTGATCTTAATTTTAAAGTAAATCGTGGACCTAGTTCTCTTAATCTCGGTTTTCCATTCTTGAGATTAAACTCGTATCTGTAAATTCGTTCAATTAGATTTAAGTACAACAGAGATGTATGGTTTACACTGATGTTAATTCTAAGTTTTATAAGTTCCATGTGATTAATAATAAAATATAAAAAATAAAATCTATAAATTCTTTAACTTTAGAGATATGTTTTTATATATAGAAATTACATGAATTTTACTAAAATATTTTAAGAAAATTTGTAGAATTTTAAAAAAATTAAAAGTACTATAAAATTACCTATGATGTCTAAAAAATATATAATCTCTTTGATTATGAAATGTCACAGCTCTCCTTCCTTTAAATTCTGGCTGATAATGAAACAAGGCTCCTAGCATTCTGCCAATGGTGAAACCTAAGCGTGTGGTAAAGTTATTGAGAATAACTTCTGGTCTGTGCTCTGTGATCTCCTTATGATTGCGCTTTAAATCTGTCGTTAATTTGACATTACTGAGTTTGAAGTGTGCAGTAGGACCATCTGGCAGATGAATGATTAACATTCCATCTAACAATTGATTAAGGAAAACTATTTCAAAATAAAAATAACTTAAATTTAATCAGCTTGATATTTTATATGGCGTATAATTGAAATTTGTTAATTGTTTTTTAAATAAAGCTTCCTAAAAGATTTCTGATGCCTCTAATAATTTTCTATCAATTTACTTACAAAATATATTATACAACGGATAAAGTATTAGCTTATTATTTTATACAATATTTATAAATGACCTATTATACTATTAGCTTATAATGTTATAAGGATACTTGGTTTGCATTGATCCTCATTAACAATGATTATATCTGTAAAGTTTCGGGCAGTAGCACTTTTGACCATTTTTTTAACGCCAGAGCGATTTCTATACAGCGAAATAGAATTAGGTATCATCCTTGTAAGTTCTCTGCCAAAAATTCTCGTTTTCCTGTTTGGATTATCAGCATATGTAATGAGAACCTTAGGTTCATACTCTTGCCTATAGTAAGCAGCAAATTCATCATGTTCACAGTCAAATTTGAGCTCCTCATTCGCCTCATCATCCAGATTACCTACTATCATAGTCTCATCTTTCTCTCGTAGGCTCTCTAAAGTATGTGGCATCTGTTTCGGAGCGCCCGACTGTATCCTCGCCTTCTTCGCTGCTTTCTTTGCCTTCGCTCGTTCTTTCATCAATTCCTGGCATTTCTGGTACCTTACAGCTTTGCATTTGATGTGATTGAAGTTACTGTCAGACGGCAGCAAAACTTCCGAAGCTTTATCCGTTGACGTACTCGGTTGATCATTTGCCACTTCATTTTCCTCCCTGGGTCGACTTAGAGGATTCTTTCGCAAAGTTTTAATCTTCATCTTGTGTACAACTTTTTGTATTCTTCTTCTTTCTTTCTCTATATGGATTTCTAATCCACTTATAAGATCACAGTACCATGCGATGAGATGGATCAAGTAGATCCAGTTAATGTTTCCTCAAAAATCAAATGAGAGGCCACACATAAACTTTTTGCATTCAAATTAAAATCGTAACCGTTCAAGAGTGTACTTTCGCGTCTCTAACCTATCAATTCTTTTAAAGCTACCACATGTTTAGGACCACGAGATCCCTGAGCTCATGCAGTGCCGCCAATATGAGAAACTATAGGGTAAAAAGGAGGCGCTTTTAACATTTAGTTCTTTGTAGTAATAAACTAGAAACGTAGAAATTAGACGATTATCAAAAGAACAATCTAGACAATCAGAATTTATGACGAAAAGGATAATAAAAAAATACAAATATAATTTTTTATCTTATCATTTACAGATTCTATTCTTTTCATAAGCATAACACACAACGTATCTGTACAAAAAAATATTTCTCTTTTCCAAGAGTACGTCATCTCGTTATTTTTTTCAAATTATTTTTTTACAGGTGACATAACAATGTGTATATGTTATTTTATAAAATAAGAGTAAAGTTTCCTACATGATGAAATAATGCAAAAGATTCAAGATAGTTGAATAACTTAATCAACCTAACTACTTTTATCCTAATTACGTTTTATATACATATCATTCTCTCTCATCTTAGCTATAGATCTTATATATGGGAGTGATTCACTTGCACACTGTAACAATTGCTCACTGTCAATCACAAGGCTTCTGCGTGTTTTTTTTTCTAGCGCAGTAATTGGCTTCTGCGCAATCGACTCGTGTGCAATTGATATACACTCCTTATGTACCATCATTTAAACTTTAAAATTATCCACAATACAAAAAATACTGCTATAGAAAAAAGAAATAAATATATAATATAATAATTGTGGCCTGCCTTTGCTAAACGCAAAACACGTGCTACAGAACCAGATAAGGAACCACTTGTTCTGTCGAAATCGTCATCCTAAAATATAAATTTGTATTATTTACTATGTATAAAATAATATGCAAAATTATGTCAACATCTTAAAAAAGTTCGACTAACCATGCCTTTTAGCATTTTATCTTGGTATTTGACTTCCGTACCAATGTCAATAGATAACGATTTTAAAGCATGAATTTTATCCTTTAGTTCTTCAGTCATCCTTTCATTCTCGTCTTCCATAGTATTGTGAGATGTACTTGGTAATGGCTCATAGCCATAACCTCCTGAAAAAGTAAAAATATGTTTAAAATAAGAATTGATGTATTTATTAACAACTGACAACTTACCTGAATGGGAACGTCGCATTTTGTTAGCAATCTTGATAGCTTAATAGATGAACTGATACAGAAGAAAATTATTGTCTCACAAAACACCTTTAAAAATTGAGAAATATTTCTATCTTTTTTTATCTAGAAAAATACATATTGTGTGAGGTCGGTTCAATTATTTATGCTTATAAAAATAAAATACTTGTAATACAAAATAGACTTACTCAGTGTTAAGTAAATATGATAAAAATTATTTAAGTAAAAATATGTGTGTTTTCCACGCAGGTAAATTGTATTAAACGACGATACTTAAACTGAAAATATTCACGTATAAATATAACCTCAAATAGATGACACATTCGTATTAATAATTTAAAAACTATGTTCAAAGCTTTTCAATACAATAACATTTTCAATTTACCAATTAAATAGAAAATGCAGACAGCCGGAAAATAGAAAATATGTGTCAATATATGTCAACGTCACGCTCGTAGCACATCGCGTGATGTATATCGAAGTGAAGGGTATCGATACTATCGATTGATTGAGAATATGTACAATACAAGTACTAACTGCTATAACTAAAAAGTTACGTTAGGTCACCAATGAATAATTATAATTTTAAGATTTAGTATTATTCTGATGTTTCTTAACTAATTATAAATTAATTTTTATATATATTGGTAAAGAAAAATTTATATCGACAGTCAATAATATCGATACTCTACACTACTCTACAGTCTACAAATATCTTTGAAATGGCAAGCTTTTGCTATATATAATTATAGCGAGTATTTAAATACGAGAGTATTAATTAACATTTGATGTATATATACAGGGTATCTCATAATTCACCCGACAATGCTCATGGGCAGGTATAGCTAAAGTGAATCGAAAAGTCCTCTACCATTTTGCAATTTCTCAATAATTATCAAGATCATTGTATATTAATTACTAAAATTCGGTTTACCGAATAGTATACAATTTCTCAATAATTATCAAGATCATTGTATATTAATTACTAAAATTCGGTTTACCGAATAGTGGTCTTCAATAATTTTTTTCTCAAATACTATCATTATTACAGAAAAACTGCAAGAAACAAAAAAATTGTTTATTTTCTTCTCATAGAACACTAGAATTTTTTATCAACTTTTCGGTACTGCATTTTCTAATTGGCAACTATTTTTACCAACATGAGAAAATACGGTATTAAAAAATTCTGAAAAAAATTCTCAGAACTTTATGGCCGGTATTCATAGTCGATTCTTATTTCAAGACCGTTTTATAAGTAATGTTTTAAGATGCTAATGCAGCCCTCTGATTGGTTCGTGACTTCTTAAACGTTGATTTAAAAAAAAGTAACGGAAAAGTAACGAAAAGTTACTTTCGCAAGTAACGGTAACTGTAACGAGTTACTTTTAAAAATCGGTAACTAGTAACGGTAACTTGTTACTTTTCCTACTCGGTAACGAGTAACTGTAACTTGT